TGCCTGCCACAGAGACCAGGGGCGTCCATGCTCACGACCGGCCCGGAGACCAGGGGCGACCACCCCACTGCCTGGCCATGGCCATCAGGGGGGGCCACCCCGCTGCCCGCCACAGAGACCAGGGGCGTCCATGCTCACGACCGGCCCGGAGACCAGGGGCGACCACCCCACTGCCCGGCACGGCGACCAGGTGTGCCCGTGCTCCCGACCGGCCCGGCAGCACTAACAGACCAGTCACCTCGCGTGACCGGCGGCCATGCCCTGACCTGGGCCTCAGGCCCTTCGTGCTGTGAGCTGGCGAGTCCGGTTCACCCAGACTGCACGGTGCTGCGAGCACATTAGACATTAGAACTGGGAAGCGTCACGGCCGCTACGTAATCGCTTCGTTGAACAACAGTAAAGCCGCCAAGAACCGCGGCACCGTGAGCGTCAGTGACTGTCCATGGGAGGAACTGATTCCCGAGCGGCACAGGGGGCTTTCGGCACCGACGTTCTCCTTTGGGATCTCGCCCTGGGGCCTGGGGGAGGAGGGCCTTGCAAGCCCAGGTGGGGGCCTCAGGCCCCTGGGGAAGGTGGGACCCCCGCTGGGAGCTGCCCCCCAGAAATGCCGGCCCTCCCCACCCAACGGGTCACATGCCCACCTCCCCTCTCGGCTTTGCCGAGGAACGAGTGTAGCTTTAGAGCAAGTGCAGGTCCATTCCCCCTTCAACCTTAAAGGAACTGAGGCGATCACCCCCAAACCAGGGTGTCATCCACGCCGGGAGCCTGGGAACTCCTCTCCCGGGGTCTCCTCCACGGCCCCCTCTCCATCGGGCACGTCACCCACAAACACCACAGCCTCAGGGGCTCTGGCTTCTGTAACAGCCATGTGTCCACTCGCGGGCTGAGAGAGGTGCTGTGAGGACAGCAGCCTTGGGGGGCCCCCTTCACTCACAGCGAGCCCCTCCCCGACACTGACGGGGTCCCCACTCCCAGCTCCGCCCTCGGCCCCTCCCTCCAGGAGCTCGGCCCACGTCCTGGTCACACGGCCCGGGGCAGGTGGACGATGCCACGCAGGGCGGTGGCCCTGGGTTAGAGTCTGTGGGGATTCTAAGGGCAAACCCCTCCGTGTGGTGAACGAGCCCCCGGGATGAGGAGGGAGGAGCGCGTGCACCTGCCCTCAGGTGAGAGGAAGGGACCCCCTCCGTGGTCCCTGAGTCCCAACCTCGCCCTCTGACCCGTCAATCATCACATCCCAGGCCCGGCCCCTGGACACCCTGCAGCACCTTCCTGGCGGAGAGCCTGTGGGTGGAGGGTCCCGTATCCCCGTGGCATCGCCGCCAACGCCTGCTACGGCCCCTGGTGCTGAGGCCCGAGGCCCCTGGCGTGAGGAGGAGCTGACGGGTGCAGCCACGGGGGCGGCTCCTACTCACTTGAGGATGAGGCCCATGGTCTCCTTCCTGTCCTTGCCCTGGAACGGCAGGGACCCCGTCAGCATCTCGAACTGCAGAGACAGAGCAGGGAGGCCTCAGGCCCGCAGAGAAGGTTCTGGAAGGGCCGTGCTGTCCCGGGGAGGGGAAG